ACCGTTAAATGCTCATTTGCAACTGAAGATGAAATGAGAATGTCGCAACATGTCTTGTAAATTTAAACTCAAAGTTGTCGTTTCTTTTTTGACAAGTTGATTATCATTTTCTCAATCCCGCATAAAATATTATTGTGTGATCACCACGCTACAATTTATACCTCATGCCAGTGTGACTGCATATTGTACTAAGTTTACACTAAATATGTAGAATGTACTTCATGGGAAAAAAAAACTGCTAATCCGTCATATCACGGTATCGTTGCTAAGGCGTTGTGTTGCAGACCGTCTGTACTACAAAATTTGGAGTCGTTCGTGTTCCGTCACCAATTACCGTCTGAGCTTAAGGCGCAAGAACTAAATGCTGCGTAGACGTTAATTTAAAAGGAACTACATTTTTTTATTGGCATTTCATGTGCTTTTAAATGTATTTCACATGTCAATTTACCTGCATGTGACATTTCAAAAAAAAAATTGGAAAACCGCAAAAAAGACTGTGAAAATTCCACCACTAAGAGCCGCTAAACTGAGTCGCAAACCCTGCTTCTAGTCGTAAACCTGTTCCTTATTTATGCCTGAATCACCTTCGGCAACGAACTAACGGCGGCCCAACCTAAGAAAACTTATGGGGGCTGGTTGTAGCGATCAGACACACATACTCAAAAGCGCGAACACTACTGACAAAATAAAAAACTTTTAACTACTGAAAAATGAGATTAGGTATCATTTTAGCACCTGTGCCATGAAAAAGCCTTTTCAAAAAGGCCATTTTAAATCTAAGGTGTAAGTGTTGCTTTATTTTCTTTTCGATTGCAAGTGTGAATAACAGAGCAGGTCTTTTAAATACCGATTGAACGTTGTGAACATTGGTTGTTACAGTTCGCCAATAATATCTTCCATGCTGGGTCTCTCTTCAGGTGCTCGACTCAAACATCTCCAGATGAGAGCTCGCAGTGCTCGGTTATTCACCATGACAACTTGCTCCTCACGCCTGTCAGGTTCTGGTTGTTCCCGGATGCAAATCTCACAGAGAAGAACCCCAAAGCTGTAAATATCAACCTATACTCGAAAAAAAGTAATACATTTGAGTAGAATAAATCAAAATTTACAGTATACGTAAGTTAATTATCAGCGACTGTAAAAGGTTCAAGTTTGTTACAAGTGTTCTAGCTAGTTTGTTTGAAATGTCTAATATATTTAGCCACATTGGAATCTTGCCTCATTGCTAACCCAAAGTTCCAGTTACCTCATCCTTGAAAAAATAAAAAACATTTCAGCACATGTAAAGGACCACACCCCGTACTGATTGAAATGTTGCTATATCAGCCGTTTTATAACCCTCACATGTCGATGATCCGTCCAACAAAAATGCTACGAGCCTCACTTTCACGATTGTGTGACCGTCACGATTTTCGTAAGGCTAAAACTGTTCTGATTACACTCAACGAACTCACCATTTCATGATTCCATAAAATGGAAAATTGCTCTGGAAATGAAGCTTTTTAAGATGATATCGTTTGTTAAAGAGTAAAACTAATGAGCTTTTAAGCTTTCTTTTAATTAATTATGCACTCAGCTTCGTCTACGGGATAACAGCCACCCACACTTCAGAGCGCGCCGCCGCCTCTGCGTTCAATGCCGGGCTATTTACCAGCATGCTAATTAACACTTTAAACATCCTTACATTAGCATCGACTTTCATGGCATTCTGTCTACTTTTCCTCAACAGGATCATGCGGGCCTCCTCAGTCTCGCAGCAGTCCATAGCTGTGAGATAATTGGTGTTTACAAGCTTTGTGAATGCGCCGTTAACTAACAACAACTCCAACATCTCCTTCAACGTCTCCCTTTCTTCAGGTTTCGGTTTGAGAGTCACAGCTAGATGAAGAGGCGTATCTCCCTCTTCGTTTACGGCATTCACATCACAACCTGCAAATAAAATTACTTTGATGATCTCCACACAGGGAAGCTTGCACAGTATTTTTACTCTAGCTTTGTGAACTGGAGTTTTATGCCACACAGCTAAGTGTAGAAGTGTATTCCCATCACGGGTGCGTGGGTTTGAACGTAGAAATCTCTGAAGACAGATGATCATGGGGGAATTTTTCATTTCCAGGGGATCTTGAACTTTGGTATATATCATCAACAGATAGAGAGCATAAAAAAGCAATGTTTCTTGCTCCTCTTTTTCATGGCCCTTTTGCGATTTCCAAGATCGTAACTTCCCTGTTAGTTTTTCATTTGCATCAACTAGTTTTTCAATGACCTCATCTACAGTTTTGGATCCTAATCGGTGACCTCCTTGAACCATTTCTGCAAATAAATCTATACAGTTACCGACATCTTCTGCCACTGGAACATCTCCGTTCATGGCTATCTCCATTGCTCGTATCCACAAACCAATACAAACCTCAAACTGCTGAGACTCGGCAAACACGGATCCACTGTATCTGATGTTATCGAGAAGCATTGTATTTTCAGTCCCAAGGATTCTCTCTCGGATTAAAAGTCCCTCCATTCGGACGGCAGGATCATCACCTTTTAACAGGGCAAGTTCCTCAAGAGTTTGACTTTCTCTTCTATTTTGATAAGCCTTCACTGGTTTCGTTTCCATTTTAAGCAATGGATGAGTGTGGTCTTCGTACCTCTTTTTCATTCCACGCTCCATGTAACCAAATGCTTTTTCAATGTTATGAGTAGCACGATCATTAGCAATGGTAGCACC